AGATTCACAGCAACACGTCACCACAGTAGGACAAACTGACAGACAAGTTTGTCTCCCTTAGCTGTTGGAAACCCCTCCAACCACCCTTACCTGGATTCCTGAGGCTGACTCCTCAATACGTTCTGGTCCCCCTTGACTTTTCTGTCCTCTCCCTGCTTTCCCGCCTCGCTGCCTGTGGTAGGTGGCCTGAGGTTCCTCTCCTTACCTGAGTCCCTGTAGCCCACTCCTCGATCTGTTCCAGTCCCCTTTGCGTTTTCTGTCTTCCCTGCTTCCTGCTTCGCTGCTTGTGGGGCGTGGCCTGGGTTTCCTCTCCTCACCTGGGTCCCTGTGGCTGACTCCTTGCTCTTTTCCGGTCCCCTTTGCCTTTTCTGCCCTCTTCCTGCTTCCTGCCACGCTGCTTGTCCCCCTTGCCTTTTCTGCCCTCTTCCTGCTTCCTGCCACGCTGGTTATGGTGTGTGGCCTGGGTTCCCTCTCCTCACCTGGGTCCCTGAGTCTGACTCCTCAATCTGTTCTGGTCCCCTATGCCTTTTCTGTCCTCTCCCGGCTTCCCACCTCACTGCTTGTGGGGCATGGCCTGGGTTCCCTCTCTTCACCTGGGTCCCTGTGGCTGACTCCTTCTCTTTTCAATCTACTTCTGTAGAAATACAGCCTTGGAAACACAAGGAAGGGTCACTATGAGTCAAATCGACTTGATGGCAATGAGCTTGGGTTTTTTTTTTTCTGGTTTATGGAGAACTGTAATCAAAAAAATTTGAAAACCTAGAAAAAATGAACAAATTTCTAGAAACATAAGACCTATCTAAAATAACACTGAGTGAGGTAGAAAATTTTAACAGGCCCATTACAAAAGAAGAAATTGAGCTGATCATAAAAACAAAACAAAAACTCCCCACAAAATAAAGTTCTGCTTCAGACAGCTTCACTGGAGAACTCCATCAACCATTAAGAGAAGACCTGACACTTAGCCTAGTCAAACTACTGCAGAACACTGAAAAGAATGAAATACTTGCAACTACATTCTATTTAGCAAGCATGAATCTGATACTAAAACCAGGTAAAGATACCACAAAAAAAGGAAAATTATACATTAACAGCCTTCATGAATAGAGACAGAAAATGTTCACCAAAATCCTAGCCAACAGAATCCTACACTATATCAAGAAAATAACATAAGATGAACAAGTGAGATTCATACCCGTATTCTAGGATGGGTCAACATTAGTAAAACACGTAACATAATCCATCACTCAAATAAAACAAAGGAAAAGAACCACATGATCATTTTATTCAGTACCGAGAAGTCACTGATAAAATACAACAGACAATCCTGATAAAAACTCTCTGCAAAATACGAACAGAAGGGAAATTCCTAAACACAATAAAAGACATACATACAAAAGAAACAGCCAACATTACTCTTAATGGAGAGAGATTCAAAGCATTCCTCCTGTGAATGGGCATCAGACAAGTATGCCCTCTACCACCACTTCTTTCAACATCAACCAGGGCAGTAAGGCAAGAAGCAAAAATAAAAGGCATCTAAGTTGGCAAAGAAGAAGTAAAACTACCTCTATTTGCAGATGATATACTACACATACAAAACCCAAAGACTTGAAAAGAAAACTATTGGAACTAACTGGAAGATTCAGCAAAGTGGCAGGATACAAGATCAACATACAAAAGTCAGATTCCTCTACATCAACAAAGAGATCTCTTTTATACTATTTATAATTCCTACCAAAGTAATACAATACTTAAGAATAAATCTTCCCAGGGACACAAAAGACCTATACAAAGGAAATTGTAAAACACTACTAAAAGAAACTATAAGAGAACTACATAAATGGAAGAATCTGTCATGCTCATGAACAGGATGACTGAACCTTGTGAAAATGTCAAAACTATCCAAAGCAATTTATAGACTCAGTGCAATCCCCCTGATCCAAATTCCATCAATATCCTCTAAGGACATGAAATGACTTCACCTTCTGTACTTTGGTCATCTTGTCAAAAGGGAGCAGTCTCTATAAAAGGATTTAATGCTTAGTAAAGTAGAGGGTCACAGAGAAAAGGGAAGACTCTCACTAAGATGGATTACCACAGTGGTTGCAATGATAGGGTCAAGCATGACAATGATTGTGAGAACTGCATAGGACTGGGCAGTGTTTTGTCCTGTTGTACACTAGGCTGCTATGAATTAGTACTGACTTGATAGCACTTAACATAGCAACCCCTCCGTGGTTTCCGAGGCAGTGTCTACATAAGTAGATTGCCCAGTCTTCCTTCTGAGGAGTGGCTGGTGGGCTTGAACCTCCAGCCTTCTGGTTAGCAGTCAAATGCCTTAGGAACTACACCACCAGAGCTCCTAACAACTATAGTAACAGGTAAACAAAACCATGTGAATACAAATGTCAAACTGAAAATAAAAGGATTCTGAGGAAAATGATACAGTTTCTTTGTTGTTGTTGTTGTTGTTATTTGCCGTCGAGTCGGCCCCGACTCATAGCGACCCCTCCTTGGGTTTCCGAGGCAGTATCACTACGGAAGTAGGACTCCCCAACCTTCCTTCCGAGGAGTGGCTGGTGGGTTTGAACTGGCAGCCTTCTGGTTAGCAGCCTTAGGCACTATGCTACCAGGGCTCCTTTAGCAAAGATAAATGGGATAAATGGCAAACTTGAACAATGACTGCATATTATATGGTTTTATAAAACAATCATGGTTCAAATGTTTAATATACTCAGCTGTTAATGAAAATGCTGGAAGTTCAAGTCTACTCAGAGACAACTCAGAAGAACCTACTTTCAGGTTTTTCAGATTTAAATCAGAAAAATCAGCCACTGAAAACCCAATGGAGCATAATTTTATTCTGACACAAATGGGGTCACCATGAGAAAAGGAGACACAACAGCACTTAAGGTTTCGTTGTTTGGTTTGGTGTGATAATGGCTCTGGAGCTATATTTTAAGGTCTTATCTATTCAATATGAATACTACGGTGTTTAAGCATTGCCCAGGACTTCCTTTTAAATATTCCAGGGGAAAAAATAGGAAAGAGAGCTCAGTGAAAGAGTGAAATGCAACTGTCAAAAATGTTAATAAATATTAAGGATGGGTGAAAAATTCATAAGGGTTTATGTATACTATTTTACTTTTGGTTATGTTGGGAAATTCTTTTAGTAAATCACTATTATAGAAAAGGCAGTGCTAGTACCTTCTTAGGAATGGAAATACTCTAGTTCTTAATTTGATTGAGGGTTTGGTAGGCTCATCAGAAATTTATTTTATTCATAATGTTTTATACCTCTTACATACATCATATACACTGTTTTGTATTTATCAAATATTATAGAATAAAATTATTTTGAATAGAAAATTCCTTGGATTAAGACCACCTTTTATGAACAATGCTCTGTAGAAGCAAAAAACAAAAAACCAAACCCAGTGGCATCAAGTCCATTCCATTTCCCAGCAACCCTGTAAGACAGAGTAGAACTACACCCCCATGGGGTTTTCTAGGCTTTAATTTTTGCAGATGCCACATCTTTCTCCCATGGAGCAACCGGTGGGTTCAAATTACTGACATTTTTGTTAGCAGCTGAACAGTTACCCAATGTACCATTAGGGCTCCTTTTGGAAGAAAAGTAGTTATTGACTTAACTAAAATGTAAATATACTCAAAAGCATAACTAGAATACCTTACAAGCTGCATTGTTCATTTACAAGTTATTATAAATTCACTAAAATTCAATAATATGCTTTTCTCAGAAAAATTCAGTATCTTTCACTTTTAAATTGTGCCCATTTATTACCACAACTGTTATTAATTACTAATTAATAAATCAACACATCACAAAATAATTCAGTACATTCAATGAATGGTGAACTGCACTTAATAATTTATAAACTCCATACTAACAATAAGCTTTAGAGTTTACTGTAAGTAAGGAAAAATCAAGTTTTGATATTCTTATTCACTATCATGCACTAAGGGCTCTGGTGGCACAGTGAGTAAGACATTTGGCTGCTAACCAAAAGGTGAGTAGTTCAAAGCCACCAGCTGCTCCACAGGAGGAAGATGAGGCAATCTACTTCCGTTAGGATTCATAGCCTTGGAAACCCAATGGGGGAATCAACTCGATGACAATGGGTTTTCTATCATGTCCTATCACGTACAATTTAATTTGTCCTCACAATAGTATAAGTAGTACATAAAATTACCTTAATTATATTATTTTAAGCATATTAAATTTACTTTATTAAAATAGTGTCGAAAAACTGTGTGGAAAGAATACTGCAAGACTTCAGAAAGAGTTACAATTACCTAGAATGTGTGGGTGGGAGCTCTGGTAGCATAGTGGCTAAGGCACTTTGACTACTAACCAGAAGGCTGGTGATTCAAATCCACCAGTCTCTTCTCGGACGGAAGATGGGGCAATCTATTTCCGTAGTGACACTGCCTCGGAAACCCAAGGAGGGGTCGCATTGAGTCGGGTCCGACTCGATGGCACATAACAACAACAGAATGTGTGGGTATGGTTTAAAATAAATCTCATTATTTCTCTCAAACTGTCATGTCATACAATAAATCTGAACTGATTTTGAAATTGTTATTAGCAACCAAAACAAGTAAATAGTTCAGCACTGATGCAAGGGTGTAATAACAAAAATGCAATTTCACGGTAAAGCATAAGATCAGAAAAACCACCACCATTAATGAAAATGACATGTGGAAGCAGCTGTGCTACGTACAAACAGCACTCTGAAAACCAGTCTCTACTTTTACTGTTTACCCTCGTTTGTTAACAAAGATAAAAAGAAGGAAACTTAGTTTCTTTTCTTTTAAGCTGATAAGTTGCAAATGCAAATTTTAAAACAAATACAACGAATTAATTAATTAAAGGGGGTGGGGAGGTGGACTCAGTGTTAATATAAAAATGCCCGAAAGAGTCCACTGAAACATCTGCTAATCATGAAAAAAGGAACAGTCTCATGGCTACTTACTTCTGTGCAGTCACTCAGAAGGGGCACAGTGGTGTCAGTGGGGTTAATATTGATAGTCTTTAGTTCAATTAGGTTATTTAGAGAATTTCCACCTAGGGGAAAGAAAAAGGTAATCAGACAAAGGAGTTTTTATCATATGATAGAAGTTACTTCTTTTTGCGTAAACTAATTCAATTACCTGACACTACAACCAGGGATGGCATGTAGCTACTGTCAGCAGGATCTACTATCATTTTTAATCTATGAACAAGAACATCTGGGAAAATCTCCAAACGAATCCAATGCTTTAAAAAAAGAAGAAGATATTCTCAGTTATTAAAACTCAGCTATAATTTAGCCAGTAAATTAGTATCTTTGAAGCTTGACTCTACATATT